TCCATGTAACAAAAACCAGTTGTATGTACCCCACACATTTTTCGAAATTAAAAAAAAGTCTCAAATATGTCAGGCATCTCCAACATGCCATGAAGAATATCAAACAAGTCAGACATGGTCTCAAACGTGACAGGAAGGATCTCAAAGTCATCAGGAAGAGTCTCACACACATCAAGGTGGGCTTCAAATGCATCAGAAAGCATCTTATACATGTCCAGCAGAGTCTCAAATATGTCAGGAAAAGTATTTAGTACAACAGGTCAAGAAGGGTCTAAATATTATGAGGAAGAATCTTGCTGGGTCAGAATGGATCTCAAACATTTCAGAAAGAGTCTTAAGCAAGTAAGAATGAGTCTTGAACAACTCAAGAAAGGTGTAAAACATGACATGACAAAGTCATCAGGAAGAGACTCACATAGTCAGGAAGGGTCTCAGATAAGTCAGAAAGTCTCAAATAATCAGCAAGAGAATTTAAGACATCGGGAAAAGTCTTAAATTAGGAAATGTTTCAACCATTTGAATAAAGGTCTCAAGTCTGGAAGAGTCTCAGTCAAGTTAGGAAGGGTCTCAAACAGTCAGGAAAGGTCCAAAACATGTCTCAACATGCTAGTCAAGGTTGAAAACAGTCAGAAAAAGTGTCAAAGAATCAGGAAGAGACATTTGCATTGCAGGAAGCACCTCAGTCAGCCTGGCTTCTACAGGAAAGGCAAGGCAGGGCAGGGTGAAGAGTTTAGGATTGGCTAGTTTGAATAATTTTGGAGGGCTCTGAGCTATAGGAGTGGTCCCTAGTTGCTGGCACCTGGCTCTGGGGTGATCAAGGCTGAGGAATATTGCCTCCTGTGGTGTTTGGACCAGATAGAGGAGGTGTGGCTCTAGACTGGTTAGTTTGCATATCAAAGACATGCTCCTGGCTGAGCCCTTTGCTATCATTAAGCAGTACGTCTCTGCTCAGCTAGAAAGGTTTTCTTAAAATGTCAAAATATCATAATATACAGAAAATTAAAAAAATATATATATACACACACAATACAGCTGGCAGTTTGCTGATTTTGGAGGGGAGAGGTATATATTTATAAGGGATATTGGTCTGTAAATTTCTTTTCTTAGGATGCCTTTGTCTGGGTTTGGTATCAGGGTAATACAGGCCTCATAGAATGAGCTGGAAAATATTCCCTCCTCTTCTATTTTGTGGAAGAGTTGTGAAGAATTGGTATTAGTTCTTTTTTTTTTTTTTTTTGAGACAGAGTCTCACTTTGCTGTCCAGGCTAGAGTGAGTGCCGTGGCGTCAGCCTAGCTCACAGCAACCTCAATCTCCTGGGCTCAAGCGATCCTCCTGCCTCAGCCTCCCAAGTAGTTGGGACTACAGGCATGCACCACTATGCCCGGCTAATTTTTTCTATATATTTTAGTTGTCCAATTAATTTCTTTCTATTTTTAGTAGAGACGGGGTCTCGCTCATGCTCAGGCTGGTTTCGAACTCCTAACCTTGAGTGATCCACCCGCCTCGGCCTCCCAGAGTGCTAGGATTACAGGCGTGAGCCACCTCGCCCGGCCTGGTATTAGTTCTTTATTTTTATTTTAGTTTTTTGAGACAGGGTCTTGCTCTGTCACCCTGGCTAGAGTGCAGTGGCGTCATCATAGCTCACTGGAACCTTAAACTCCTGGGCTCAAGCGATCCTCCTGCCTCAGCATCCCCAGTAGCATGGACCATGAGGAGGCCCAGCTAATTGTTCTTTTTCTAGTAAAGACAGTGTCTCTTCTTGCTCACTGCAACCTCAAACTCCTGAGCTCAAGCAATCCTCCTGCCTCAGCCTCCTATAGTGCTAGGATTACAGGAAGAAGCCCCCAGCTGAGAGTTCTTTATGTATTCTAAATACCAGGCTTTTGTTGGGTATGCTGTTTACAAATTACAGCATACCAGGCTTTTGTTACATATGAGGTTTACAAATTACAGTGCCTGGCTGTACTTCTTTAAATGTATGGTAGAATTCACAAGTGAAGCCATCTGGCCTGATCTTGTCCTTGTGGATAATTTTTTGAGTACTAATTCATCTCTTTACTTGTTATAAGTCTATTCTTATTTTCTATTTCTTCCAGAGTCAGTTTTTAGTAGTTTATGTCCTAGGAATTTGTCTATTTCATATAAGTTATCTAATTTGTTGCCATATAATTGCTCATAGTATTTCTTTATAATCCTTTTTATTTCTATAAGGTTGATAGTGATGTCCCCTCTTTCCTTTCTGTTTTTAGTAATTCGAGTCTTCCTTATTTCTTGGTCAATTTAGCTAAAGGTTTGTCAATTCTATTGGTTTCTTCGAAGAACCAACTTTTGATTTTGTTGATTTTTCTCTGTTGTTTTTCTATTCTCTATTTCATTAAGTTCTTCTGTAATCTTTATTATTTCCTTTCTCTTGTTTGCTTTAGGTTTAGTTTGCTTTATTTATTGCTAGCGTCTTAAGATAGAAGATTATGTTATTGATTTGAGACCTTTCTTCTTTTACAATGTAGGTGTTTACAGCTATTCCTTTCCTTCTGTGAACTGCTTTAGCCACATCCCAGAAGTTTTGGTTATTGTATTTTCATTTTTATTCATGTCAAAGTATTTTCTAATTTCCCTCTTGATTTCTTCTTTGACACAGTTGTTATTTAGGAGTGTGCTGTTTAGTTTTCTCCTATCTGTGAGTTTTTCAAATTTCTTTTACTCATTGAATTGTAATATCATTCCATTGTGGTTGAAGATCATATTTTTTTATTATTTCATTCCTTCTAAATTGAGTGAGGTTTGTTTTATGACCTAACACATGGTTTGATTTGAAGAATGTTTCATGTGTACTTGAGAAGAATTTATATTCTGCTGTTTTGGGGTGGAGTGTTCTATAGCTGTCTGTTTAGTCTAGTTGGTTTATAGTGCTGTTCAAGTTTTCTATTTCCTTATTGATTTTCTGCCAGTTAGAACTTCTGCCTAATTGTCCTATTCATTGTTGAAAGGGGGCCATTGAAATCTCCAACTATTATTGTTGACTTGCTTATTTCTTTCTTGATTTCTGTCCACTTTTTCTTCATGTATTTTGGTTTGTTAGGTGCCTATGTTTATAATTTTTGTATCTTCTTTTTTTTTTTTTTTTTTTTTTTTGAGACAGAGTCTCGCTTTGTTGCCCAGGCTAGAGTGAGTGCCATGGCATCAGCCTAGCTCACAGCAACCTCAAACTCCTGGGCTCAAGCGATCCTACTGCCTCAGCCTCCCGAGTAGCTGGGACTACAGGCATGTGCCACCATGCCCGGCTAATTTTTTATATATATATCAGTTGGCCAATTAATTTCTTTGTATTTATAGTAGAGACAGGGTCTCACTTTTGCTCAGGCTGGTTTCGAACTCCTGACCTCGAGCAATCGCCCGCCTCGGCCTCCCAGAGAGCTAGGATTACAGGCGTGAGCCACCGCGCCCGGCCTATAATTGTTGTATCTTCTTTATGTATTAAACTTTTTTTTTAAATTTTAAGTTTGAAAGTGTATTTTGAAATAAAATGCAAAATAGATTTTTATAAAATGGTCACACAAGAACACATCTTAAGATACCATCCCATGCTGCACTTACTAAGTTACAGGTCTAGTCAAAACAAATGGCTGTCATTTACAAATGTGAATTCTTCTCTTTAAGCATAAAGAAAGCTCAGGAGAAATGCCAGACTGGGCCTCCAGGAGCGAGGCGGTGGGGGCCTGCACCTCCCCAGGGGCCAGAGGAGGACTCTGGCCAGCTGACTTCTAGAGTCCTATGCACCATGGTCCTCTCATGCCAGAGAACAGTATAAAACAGTACTAGTATTTTCCTTTGATTATAAACTTCAACAGAGAAATAACTTACCATGCTTTAAAATTTTACTACGAAGAGTACTATAATTTTTATTGCGACATACCACCTTTGAAAAAAATTTCTGTTCAAGAAGTTTCTGATCTGACTCACTTTCTTACTTGGCAATTTGTGCCTTGGGGCCTCCTCCACACACGCCAGTACAGATGAAGAAACTAGCTGGTGGTCATTCCTGAAGGTACCTCCCATGGAGCAGGCTGTGCATGTCCCTGCTCAGGCTCCAACCACCTGCTCTCTAATTCCAGAGAGCCGGCTGACCGACTTACTGTTCTTTGCTCACATTCCATTTTTATTACGTAAGTTGTATTTTAGTAGGTTCCTATAGAATTGGTGTCATCTTGTTAATGATCAACAGTTTGAGGTTTTTACACAGTAGCACTTCAGATATTTTGCTGGTGTGTGAAGCTCAACTGACGTGCACAGGAACAAATACGCTGGCAGATCAGCTGCATTTCAGCACCTTATGGTTGTAGCTCCATCCCCTTATAAATGCTACATTTTATCCTTAAAAGCATCAAGTTAGTTAGCTCATACTTCCTCTCAAATAAAATATTTACTTTCTTTTTCAATAGTAAACAATGACTTTTTTTTTTAATAACAAAGACATGCTCAAGACAAACATCACAAAACCATAACCTTAGATAAATGGTCTAAAACACAGTTGACTCATGTCTGTACATCAATTCTACACTAAAGGTTCCAGCCTTTGACTGTGCCCACAGGTCCCTACGTTCTTCCACATAATCATTTTTATAGTTTGACAAAAACTAAAACACACCTTCCTAAGTGGGAGGATGTTGTCAAAATTCCTCACTGCAATGTTTCATGATTACTTAAAAATTCATAGCATAGCATTTTTTGCTAATTATGAAAGTTGTAAATTTACAATCATTTCCTTTCATAAGGACTGCACCATTATCCATTTTTATTTATTCCTAATTAAATTCAATTCCAACTACCTGATTTTGAGTCTGAGGTAGCTTTGTATTGGTTCTACTACCATGGAAGTGGTATGTTTCAAAGTACCATCTGGAGCATTTGATTAGATTTAAATGAGAGAAGGAAACACGGTATCAGTCGTACTGTTTTCTCCCTTGGCATACAAACTAAAAAAACTCAAATAACCACTTCTTTAGTGATAAAAATACAATTCTTTTGTGAGCATGGACTCAATACATGGAATTTGTTTCTTTGCATGAAAAGTAGCTTCCAAGGAAAAGGACTCGAATTCCGTTGCCACCTTTCGGTTAACCCAAGTAAGAATGTGCACAAACTCGAGCTTGTGAGCGTACAGTTTCAGCATAGCACAAAGTGACTGGATGAATCAGGAGCCATCCTTTGAATTTCGCCAGGAATAGTAACCAGGTGCTGTGGAGTACACGTACAAGAAGTCGGCCTCAACTGTTATTTTCTGACACGCCATGTTGTCATCGGCACTGCTGTCTGTCTCGATGCCACAGTCCAGTTCAGTACCTCGGCAGGCCTGAATAATGAAAAGTTTGGGTTTTCCAGTTAGACTTCTACAATAATCCCCTCTGAAGAAACTTGTTATATTTTTCAGGTCAACAGGTCCATTTGTCCCAAAAATGATTCCTTCCTCACCATGGCTTAGAAGCACGCAAATAAAACTGCTCCTTTTGCTGTGATCTTCTTTAGAAACATTATGCATCAATTCCACAATTTCTTCACGTGTAAGATCGTTTTTATTTCTGACTTTGTATTTCAAGTTCATGAATGTTTCCCTGTTGGAGACTAAGACGCTCCACATTCCAACGACTTGTCCTACGCAAGGGCCTCGCCCGGAAAATGGCCTAAGACGAAAATAGCACCCAGCCCTCCAGCTATAGTTCCAAAAAGAATGCATTCCATGGCGTGCTTGCTCCAGGGCATGCTACCTGCAATTGTTCCCGACCCCCTGCCAGGTTGGGGTTGAATGATCCACCACAAACAGCTTCTGGTGCCATTGGGATGCTGATTGGGGCTGATTAGCCCACATGCAAGCCTCATCATCCCCCCACTCTATTTTTCTGTTTCTACTTCCTTGTTTTCTGTATATAAAACCTACTAAAAATCCAAGTAAAGTAGACCTTGACAACCCTTTGCTTGGTCTCGTTCCTTTCTCTCGCCCATCTCTTTCAGGCACGTCCCCCTCGTCCCCCGCGAGTAACAGAAGGTCCCGCGGGCCGGGACATTTCCCTGAGGTTTGCTGCATCTACATCTGTACCTGACCGAGATGGCATTCCGGTGCTTTTATGAAAGTTCTTATTATTAATTATTATACATAAACCCATTTCAGGATAATCCATTTTGTAGCTGTTGTCCAAGGACATTCCAGAGTCCATAGATTTGCTTCCATGGATGATCTTTGTTTCCAAATTTTTAATGGATTTTGCATCCACTGAGTTTTCACTATTCTCCATGGATACTTTTATTAACTATAGTCCCAGGTATTCGGAGGGCTGAGGCAGGAGGATCGCTTGAGCCCAGGAATTCAAGGTTGCAGTGAGCTATGATGCACGTCACTGCACTCTAGCCTGAGGGAGAGAGTGAGAATCTTAACTGCCCTGCTGCTTCCCGGCCTGTTTTGCGTCACGACTGTATTAAACTTTAAAAAAATTTTTTTTATTTTGGCATATTATGGGGGTACAAATGTTAAGGTTACATATATTGCCCATTTTCCCCTCCCCCCTCGAATCAGAGCTTCAAGTGTGACCATCCCCCAAACGTTGCACATCTCAGTCATTATGTGTATTAAACTTTTTATCATTAAAAAATGTACCTTTTAATCGCTAGTAATTTTTTTTGTTTCAAAGTCTATTTTATTTGATGTTAGTATAGGAACTACAGCTTTTTTATGGTTGCTCATATCTTTTCTCATCCTTTTAGTTTCATTCTATTTGTATCTTTGAATCTAAAGTGTGTTTCTTTGGACAGCATATAGTTGGATCTTGTATTTTTATATAGTCTGACAATTTCTGCCTTTTATTGGGTTGTTTAATCCATTCACATTTAATGTTATTATTAATATAGTTAGAATTATGGCTTCCCTTTTTGTTACGTTACATGTCTGTTTGTTCCTCTATTCCTCATTTACTGCTTCCTTTTAAACTAAGTGAATATTTTCTAATGTAACATCTTCATTACTGCGATAATTTTTTTCACTATTTTTTAGAATTATTTCCTTACTGGTTGCCCTAGGGCTTACCATATATATCTTATCAAAATTTACTTCAGATTGATACTAATTCAATTCCAGTGAGATATAGAAATGTTACTCCTATATAGCTCTATTTCATTTTACTTTTTTGTGCTATTATTGTTATATATATTACATCTTATATATGTTAAAAACCCAACAATAGATTGCTATAAGTATTACTTTATATAACTTTATGTCTTTTACAGAAGCCAAGAGAAGAAAGGGAAGTAATTATATATTTATGGCATTTGATTTATTAACCTAATTTACCATTTCTGATTCTCTTCATCTGTTCCTATGGATTCATGTTACCATCTGGTATCATTTCCTTTGTCTAATACAGCTTAGTTCCCACTCAACTCCTTTGTGCTGTTACTGGCAAATATGTTACATTTCTATATGTTATAGGCTCAGCAATACAACTACATACATACTGTTTTATATGTTTGTTTTTAAATCAGTTAAGAGAAGAAAGGAGAAGAAATATGCACTTATACTGTCTTTTATAATTACATAATTACCTATAATGGTACTCTGTGTTTTTTCATGTTGATTCAAATGACTGTCTGGGGTCACTTGATTTCAGCCTAAAGAATTTTCATTAGTATATTCTGTAAGGTGAGTGTGCTAGCAACAAATTCTCAGTTTTTGTTTATCTGGCATATCTTTATTTCATATTCATTTTTGAAAGATAGTTTTGCTAAATGCAGGATTCTTGATAGACAGTATTTTCTTTGAGCAATTTTGAATATGTCCTCTCACTGCCTTCTGGTCTCTGTTATTTCTGCTGTAAAGTCAGCTGTTAATCTTATTTGGGTTCCCTTGTATGTGATAAGTCATTTTTTTATTTGTTGCCTTCAAGATTTTTTCCTTGCCTTTGGCTTTCATCATGTTTATTATTATATGTATGTTTATGGATATCTTTGCATTTATCCTATTTAGAGTTTGTTGGGTTTCCTGGATGTACAAGGTTTTCATCAAATTTAGGAATTTTTCAGCCATTATTTTTTTTTAATATTTTTTCTTCACCTTTTCTTCTTTCCTCTCCTTCTTGCATCCCCATTATATTGATTTGGTGTGCTTAATGATGGACCACATTTCTGAAACTCTGTTCATTTTTCTTCATTCTATTTTCTCTTTGTTCTTTGTATTGCATAATCTCCATTGATCTATTTTTAAGTTCATTGATTCTTGTTTTTCCTAGTCCAAATATACTTTTGAGCCCCTCTAGTGAATTTTTCATTTCAATTATTGTATTTTTCAACTCCAGAATTTCTATTTTTTATTTTTCGTAAATTCTATCTATTTATATTTTTTATATGATGAGACACTATTATCATACCTTCCTTTTTAAAGCATAGTTTCCTTTAGTTCTTTAACTATATTTATAATGGCTACTTTGAAGTCTTTGTCCATTAAATCTGACATCTGGTTATTCTCACAGGAAGTTTGTGTTTCCTACTTTTTTTCTGGTGTATGAGTCACACTTTCCTGTTTCTTTTCATGTTTTATATTTTTTTGTTGAAAACTGGACATTTTATATAATATATCATAGCTACTCTGAATACTAGTCCTCTTACTCCCACAGCTTGTTATTGTTGTTTGCTTGTTTAGTTGCTTAGTGACTGGCTGGATTATTTTAATGAAGTGTATTTCCCCTGCAGTGTGAAGCCTCTGATGTCGCTCCTCAGAGAGCAAAGTTCTGGGCATGAGCAGTCACACTGCCATAAAAATGGTTTTAGCAAGGCTGTCTTTGACTGTCTTGTTCCCTGACCACACCCAGCTATTAAGCTCCACTAGTTACTAGTTGATCGCTCTATTGCTTTCAACAATGCAATGGGGCCTAAATTGCTCCACAGACTGATCCTATTAAGTTCAGGCTCCTTTGCAAGGATAGGTTTGGAGGTCAGTGTTTGAAGTTTTTTCTGACCCTAGTAGGTCTATTCTTAGCTTTCACTTTGCCTGATTCTATCTTTTAAACTAGCTGGCTTATAGTTTAGCTTATATCTTTAGTGAAGCTATCAGTTTCATCTTAATTGCTTTCCTCCAAAACCTACATTGTTTTTGAGAGCTTTCTTAGGCTTTAACTTCTCCACATTATTTTTCAGATCAAGTTAGTTCTTTTGGGAAGAACTTTAGAACTCTCTATTTTATACATAGCTGTCCCTCTGGGCAAAATTTCTGAGCCATGGCTCCAGAGCTGGGAGCAGGCAGGTTGGTGTGCTTATCTCTGAGTGACACTTCTGTTTTAGGAGGTGGGCACTGAGCAGGGGATGGTAGCTTCTGGTATTTTTGGCTTCCTTCTTCTTGCACGGAACCTCTGCCCTACTAACAAGCTGAGGTCAGAGTGATCAGGGCCTCAGTATTCTTTGTGTAGCACACGTGGGGTAGAGCCTCTACCCAAGGAATGGGGACTGTAAGAAAGACAGGAGCCTTTGACTCTCAATCTCACTCACTTGGAATGTAGCCTCTGCAACAGGTACCTAGGGGGTGGAATAATAAATGCTGCAGTTCTGTCCCTTCTGGGAAGACACAGTAGCCTTGATTTTGAGACTGGGGGTAAGGAAGACCTGAGTTCTTGGCTGCACCTGCCTGGAATAGAGTTTCCATCACAATGAGCTGGGAAGGGGAGGAAGGAAGCAGGTTGTGCTTCAAATGACACAGGCTGTCATTGTTCTTACTGAGTTTTAGTAGACTTTCTTGAATGAATGTTTCTTTATTTACTCTATGCTCTTAGGACCATTTCCAGATACTTTAAATGGTGGTTTTAAAAATAAATTTCACAGTTTCAAGGGGAAGAAGGTCTGCAAAGCTCCTCATGATGCTATTCCAGAAGTGGACTTCCCCCAACGAATTTTAATTATCTCAGAAAGGGTCTCAAACAGATAATAAGAAGGGTCTCCAGTCTGTCAATAACAGTCTCAAACAACTCAGGAAATGTCTAAAACATGTCAGGGGAGGTTTAATATTTGTCAGGATGAATTTTAAATAGGTCAGGAAGAGTCTTAAACACACAGGAGGACTCTAGAATACTTTAGGAATGTGACAAACAAGTCAGGAATAGTTTTGAAGACATCCAGAGGAGTCTGAAATGTATCAGGAAGAGTTTCCAGTACTTGAACAAGGGTTTCAGGAAAGGTCTCAAACATGTCAGGAATGGTTTCAAAGAGTCAGCAAGAGCTTCAAATATGTTGGGTCTCAAATGTGTCAGAAATCTTTACTGAGGGGCGTTGTGTGTAAAAAAATTAAAAAGAAAAAAGAACAAAAGGATCAAATACTGTGTTTCCCCAAAAATAAGACCTACCCATAAAATAAGCCCTAGCAGGATTTCTAAGCATTTGCGCAATAGAAGCCCTACCCCGAAAATAAGCCCTAGTGATGGGCGTGGTTATGCAGCGCATCCGCACAACCCATGCATTTCATCGTGGAGCGGTAAAGAAGACGAGCAGCCCTTCTCATCCGCCCCACGAGAGCTCTATTGCTCGACATGAGAGATTGGGGCCAATGGTTCTAAAGGAAATAGAGTCGCAAGAAATTCAGGATGGAATTCGGGGTTTGGAGAGTTATGATGATGTTCCAGAAGAAGATGACTTAACTATATTTGAATAAATGTAGATTGTTGTACCGTACTTAAAAAAAATAACACATCCCCTGAAAATAAGCCCTAGGGTGTCTTCTTGAGGAAAAATAAATATATGACCCTGTCTTATTTTCGAGGAAACACGGTATGTCAGAAATCTCTTAAACAGGAAAACCTCTAATACATTAAGAAGCATCTCAAACAAGTCAAGAAGGATCTCAGGATACTTAGAAATAATTAAAAATTTGTCAGTGAGGTTCTCAAACAGATAAAAAGGGTCTCAAATACGTTAGAAAGATTTTAAACATGTCAGAAAAGGGTTTCTTTTTAAACTTTTTAAATTTTTACTTATTATGGGTACATAATAGTTGTACATCTTTATAGATGTTTTGATACAGGCATACAAAGTGAATTAATCAAATCAGGGTAATTGAGGTATCTAGCACTTCAGGCATTTATCATTTCTTGGTGTTAGGGACATTCCAATTCCACTCTGTTAGTTATTTTTATACCCTAACTTATTATTGATTATAGTCATTTTCTCACACTCAGGAAGAGTTTCAAGCAAGTCACAAAGGGTCCCAAATATGTCAGGAAGAGTCTTGATCAGTCAGGAAGTGTCTGATTCAAAAATAATCTAATACAAGTCAAAGAATGTATCAAACATTTCAGAAAGAATCTATTTTGTCAGTGTTTTAATATGTTTAAGAG